GTATGATTTAGTAATAAGTATGAGATCACGTATCTTTAGGAATCAAACTTGGATACTTTATTCTATATCTGCTAAGGGAAGGAACATACTCTCTAAACAAACACTGAAAATAAATGTAATTTTAAAATTAAAAAGATCCACATTAATCATAAAATTGAAAAGACAGAAATTGAAGATCCAGCCCTGAGACTTGCTGCGCCTCCCCCTGCCGCCACCCCAGTGAGGGCTGGCTGACATACTAACCAAATTCTTCTTCAGAGGCAGGAACTGTTGGCTGCTTTTTATCTGTCTCTGTTTTCTCTGAAGGAGCTTCTGTAGAACCAGGTGTTGCCCTCATGGGTGGGAAAGTTACTCGGCCTGATGAAATGATTCCTGTAATGTACAGCCAAAGTACTCAGGCTTAGAGCAGTACTGCCAAGTTTCCCATTTATTTATCACTAAATATTTACTAAGTACTTACCATATTGCTTGGTAGATGTGCCAAGCTTGGAAAGAACACAAGACCTGGTCCTTAATAGAGATTGGATGTGTGAACCAAGTATACTGAAACATTATAGATGTTGTGAAAGAGTTGGATTATTGTATCAGGAAAGGAAAACGAAAAGAGTGATTATGTCTAGGGGGGATAATGGAGGGTATTGCAGAGGGTGAGGGGAAGGTAAGAATGTCTTTATAGAGAGTGTGTCCTTAAACAGGAGAAGTGCTCAGTAGGTAGACACAGAGCTGTGTAATAGTCAGAGGATGAAACCAAAACCAGTAGGGAAGCATGAAACAGTTTGGTGAGTTTAGGAGACCCATAAACAGTTTAAAGGGGCTGGGACAGTGAGAACTAAGTGTTGGAGGGGCAGGGCAGGCAGATCATGAAGGGCCTTCTATACTGGGCTATGAATTTGCACATTTTTTTTTTTTTTGGCAACAAGGACCCATTGAAAGATTCTAACTAGGGAAGTAACATAATCCGATAGGAAGAAGATGATTTGTTAGTATGTAAGGCTGATGGCAGGGACAGAAGTCAGGAGACTAAGGCAGTTGTGCATGTGAGAAAAGGAATTCCTGGTTAGTGTTAATAGTTAATGTATTTGCCTCCAAAACTGAATCTATCTCAATATCTAGGCAGGTCTAAAAGTGGAATGGAAGCTAGATTAGAATTTATATTCCTCTGAGAAAAAGTAATCATTCTCAAGCAATAAAGAGAGGATATAAGACTGAAACAAGGATCATGCCCTGTGTACAATCTTAACAAGTGACTGAGATAGTCCTCTGGTTCACTGCCTGGGGACTCATGCTTCTGGTCCTAACAGGTGGTAGTGGTTATGTACCGTGGAGCCAGTTCTGACTCAAAGCAACCCTGTACAGGTTTTCCAAGGCTGTACATTTTTATAGGAGCAGAAAGCCTCATCTTATCCTGGGGAGTAGCTGGTAGATTTGAACTGTTGATCTTGTGGCCCAACTCATATTCTACTAGGCTATCACAGCTCTTTGGTCCTAATAGGAGTGGGTCACTGTAAGAAGGCAAAATTGAGCTGCATTGCATTGTGCATGAACTTTTCAGAGTTGGCTGAGTCAACAGGAAATGCTGGCATAGCCTTTCTCCCTGGGCAAAGACTGTAGGATTCTGAGGCCTCAGTAGACTGAAGACAGGAAAACAGTGAAAGATGCTCCATGTCTAAGATCGACTTATGTGCACTTGTGCCAGAGTGTCGGAAGACTCTCAGAGCACTTAGTTGATTTTCTGTATTCAAGCTGCACTTCCTATGATGCTGCTGTTGTGTTGTTTAGTGCTGTTGAGTCAGTTCCAACCCATAGTGACCCTCTATAGGGTTTCCAAGGAGCAGCTGGTGGGTTTGAACCATGGACCTGGAGGTTCAGACTGACCTCACGGTCCAGTGCATGATCCTGCAGCACCCAGATTGCTACAGCGGCTTCTGCTTGTTGTTGGCATCCTAAATGTAGTATTTTATTTGGGTTAGAGGAAGATTGCAAGAATAAATCTCGGTAACACAATGGGTTTTATGGTCTTGGCTGCTAACCTCAAGGTCAGCCATTAGAAACTCCCAGCTGTTCTTAGGGAGAAAGATGAGGTTTTCTGCTCCTGTAAATATTTACAACTTCAGGAACCCTATGCAGGGTCTCTATGAGTCAAGACCGACTCCACGGCACACAGGCACACCACCACCACCACCATCACCATCACCATAAATTGAGTTCTAGAGTGGCGACTATGAATCGGAACCCACTTGACAGCACTTAACAACAAATAAGCTAAGTGGGCTGTACCCAAGTGACGCCTACTGATGGGAAAGAGCAGTGGTTTTATATGAGAAAAACCAAGGTCATAAAGCCTAATGGGAGCTTTCTATAGGGAAAGTTCCCTGAGTTTCCCCCGAGGACACTCCAAGAAACAACTTCAGTCTGTGACTCATCCATTTTGACCTAAAGGGTACTGAAGCTGGAGTCAGAGTTACCCCAGGTTAAAATTAATGTGGAAACCCCCCAACTCCCCTACAGGGTCTAATCAGAAGGTTGGAGGTTCAGAAGGAAGACCTGGGAATCAGTTCCTGAAAAATCAGTTGTTGAAAACCATATGGAGCAAGCACAAGTCTAGAGTTCTATTCCAACACAGATGAGGTTGCCATGACTTGGAAAGACACCAGTAATATGGCTGAGAGGGTGATTCCCTCCTTCAACTGTGCATGGTACATCGTAAAAGCTTCTTGGTCTCCATACCTTCTTTTCTGTGAAAACAGTGACATACTTATACCTTTCCACATAAACCCCAGAGGCAGAGGGATGGCTTCTTTTACCCCACCCACGAGGACATGAATCCTCAAAGCTGTCATTACAGTCAGTCCGCAGGGACAGACAGCACAGAGACTTGTGTGCTGCCTGAGCTATCATTCCAAGAAGCTGAGTAAAATCATGGAGGGAAAAGGAAAGTATTGATGGACGTACCTGCACTTCCCGGCTTTCCAGTGACATTATTTCGGGGGAAAGGTTTTCTCTGTATTGGTGTAGGTCTAGGTGGTAATGGTGGGCGGCGAGTGCCTGGGATCATGGCTAAGAGATGGTATTACAGAGAAAGCTGTTATAAGGATTCACTAATAAAACCATAGATTTCTAAAAAGAACTCTTAAAAGTTAGCACACTCATATATGGAAAATGGATTATCAGATTATAGATGAAAAATATATAGGTATATCTTTCATTTGCAAGACTGTAGAGAAATGAGTATTTTTAGTTTCCTAAGGTGCTTTTTTAAAAGCATCATTATCTCCAACTGCCTTTGATTTTAAGACTGGTAAAATGTTAATTTATAATAACCATTTTAGCTTTAAACTCCTGCAAAGACCTTATCTCCCTTTCTCGGTGCCTCTCCCCATATTCCAAATCCTATATAATTATACAAATCCCTTTATAACTTCTCAAATAATGATACCAAAGTAGCCCCGATGATAGGAGGAAACCTGTATCCATGACAGCAGGGTCACCAGGGATGGTTGTGGGGTTGTGCACTGCAGAAGGATGCCTGGCCGAAGCAGGTACACCTGGGGCTAAAGTTTAGCACCAATTTTCCTAAACCACCCATGAACCTAGGAGAAGAGCACATGTCTCTAACTTGAAGCACTTTGCACAATGTTGGTGAGGTTATTGGTTCGTAGAACATTTCACTGTAATCCCCAATTTCTTTGAAATCTTGTGTTACAGGTTAGAAATTCACCTTTCTTTTTTTCTGTAGTAATATACATTTGTTTAAAAAAATCTTCAAGTAAAATAGACAACTCAGGAAAATGTCCTGTGGATTAATATATTTCCTAAGAAACTTGCGGGGGTGGGTAGGGAAGAAGGAGATGACAGAGTGCAGTAAATACACCAAGGTAGATCTCAGAGTATCTGTTTACAAAACTAAGTCTCTATTCAGTACAAAGGTATTCTGAGTCATCAACTTCAGAATTTTGTCCTAATACATGGGATGCATCCTTAAATCAGAAATATAAATCATACCAGGCAAAAGGATACTGTAATACATTTTATAGGAGCAAACTTTTTAACATAAAGAAAACTTGAACCCATAATGACTCAACATTTGTCCATTGTAGCTCCCTCAAAATATTACAGAAAATAACTATTAAATTGATAGTTCTTGTGGTACTAAAGGATAAGCACTGGATGGTCAGATCAGTTTGAACTGCAAAGTTGGTGGTTCAAAACTTGCCATCTGTTCCTCAGAAACCCTATACAGGATTGCTGAGTTGGAACGGACTTGATAGCACTTAACAACAAAATAACAAAAAGAGGTTCTTATTAATATTTAATTTGCCCACAGAGCACTTTTCATTCCCCTCTAAAGATAATATTTCAAAGTATTTCTCTAGCAGTATCATATACTGTTAGCACAGTTCTGACACATTTGGATGCCATGTAGATGTTTTTTGTGCTGTGACAAATGATACCATAGTTATTATCCAAGTTTCAGAGTTGAGTTATTGAAAGGGAGTCAGCCTCTTATTCCTTACCTGCTTTTTTGGTGGGATGAATTGAATCTATTGAAACATTTCTGCTAGCATCAATGTCTCCAGGAATGGAATGCTTGATCCCTATGAAGAGAAATAATAGAAGGGATATAGAGTCCTGGTGTGGCACTGTAGGATAAGCACTGGACTGCTAACCACAAGGTTGGCAGTTCAAGTCCACCAGTAGCTCCCTGGAAACATGGGACAGGTTCGCTATGAGTTAGAACTGACTCAGAGGCACCAACAATAACAATAATATATATATATATACATATATATGTTGCATGTGGAGTCCTGGTGTGGCACTGTGTGTTAATGCACTGAACTGCAAAGCCAGTTTGAGTCACAAGATGGGTGGTTCAAACTCACCAGCCTCTCCTTGGAAACCCTATATGGAGTCGCTATGGGTCGGAACTGACTTGATGGCACTTAACAACAACATATTGCATATATATATATATAAACTCCTGGTGTGGCACTGTAGGATCAGCACTGAATTGTGAACCACAAGGTTGGTGGTTCAAACCCAACAGCTACTCCTCAGAAACCCTATATAGGGTGGCCATGTTATTAAGTGTCATCCAGTCATTTCTGACTCAAAGCAACCATATGTGTGTGTGTGTGTACGTACGTGTGTAACATACTGTTATTGTTAGGTGTTGTTGAGCTGGTACTGACACATAGTGACCTTATACACAACAGAACGAAATACTGCCAGGTCCTGTGCCAATCCCACAATCATTGCTATGCTTGAGCCCATTGCTGTTGCCACTGTGCCATTCTATCTGGTTGGCAGTCTTCCTTTTTTCCGTTGGCCCTCCACTTTACAAATCATAATGTCCTTCTCCAAGGACTGGTCCCTCTTGATAATATGTCCAAAATATGAGAGATGAAGTCTAGCCATCATGGCTTCTAAGGAGCACTCTGGTTATAATTCTTCCAAACAGATATATTTGTTCTTCCAGCAGGCCGTGGTACCTTTAATATTCTTCTCCAACAACATAACCCAAATACATCAATTCTTCTATGATCTTCCTTTTTCACTGTCTAACTTTCACATGCAAATGAGGCTACTGAAAATACCAAGACTTGAGTCAGGTGCACTTTAGTCTTCTGACATCTTTGCTCTTGAATACTTTAAAAAGGTCTTGTGCAGCAGATTTGCCTAATACAATACATCATTTAATTTACTGATTGTTGCTTCCATGAGTGTTGGTTGATCAGAGCAAAATGAAGTCTTTGAGAAATTCAATCTTTTCTCCATTTATTTTGATGCTATTTATTGGTCCAGTGGTGAGGATTTTTGTTTTCTTTACATTGAGATGCAACTCATACCAAAGGTTGTGATATCTGATCTTCATCAGCAAGTATTTTAAGCCCTCTTTGCTTTCAGGAAGCACGGCTGTATCATGTGCATACTGCTGATGCCATGTTCTTCTTCATATAATCCAGCTTCTCAGATTATTTGCTCAGCATGCAAACTCAGTAAGTATGGGGAAAGAATACAAATAGAAATTCACCTTTCTTTTCTTTTTTAGTAATATATGTTTGTTTAAAAAATCTTCAAGTAAAATTGACAACCCAGGAAAATGTCCTGTGGATTAACACACTTCCTAAAACATCTGCAGGGGTAGGTAGGGAAGACTAACCAACTGGTGCACACCTTTCCTAATTTAAAACCATTCAATGTTCCCTTGTTTCATGCCTCTTGGTGTATGTACAGATTCCTCATGAGCACAATTAAGTGTTGCAGAATACTCAATCCCTATAATGTCCATAGCTTGTCATGATCCACACAATTGAAAGCCTTCATGTAGTCAATAAAGCACAGGTAAACATCTTTCTATAGATACACACACACACACACACACACATATGGAGTCCATGGCATGCTGCTGAAAGATAAGCACTAGACTGCAAGGTCTGTTTGAACTGTGAGGTTGGAGATTCAAACTCATCAGCTGGTCTTCGTAAACTCTATCCAGGGTCACTATGAGTTGGAATCAATATATGTGTAGCCAACAAAGAACAAGTAAACACATTTCTGGTATTCTCTGTTTTCAGCTAAGGTCCATCTGACATCATTCCACATCCCCTGTCCATGTACAGTTATAGTCTCTTAAAAATTATTTTTAGCAAAATTTTATTTGCGTTGTATATTAATATTAATATTTTCTGATAACTTCCACATTCTGTTGGGTCACCTCTCTTTGGAATGGGCACAAATATGGATCTCTTCCAATCAGTTGGCTAGGTATCTGTATTCCAAATTTCATGGCATAGATGAGTGAGTGCCTCCAGTGCTGCACTAGTCTGTTGAAAGATTTCAATTTGTATTCCATCAATTCCTAGAGCCTTGATTTTTGTCAATGCCTTCAGTGCAGCTTGGATTTCTTCCTTCAATACCAACAGTCTTGATCATATGCTACCTCTTGAAATCATTGACCATTGACCATTTTTGGCACAGTGACTCTATGTATTCCTTCTATCTTGTTTGATATTTTCTGCATCATTCAATATTTTGCCTAAAGAATCCTTCAGTATTTCAAGTCAAGGCTTTGATTTTTTTCCCTCAGTTCTTTCAGCTTGAGAAATGCTGGCATGTTTTTCCCTTTTGGTTTTCTAACTCCAAGCCTTTCCAGACTTCATTATAATGTTTGACTTTGTCTTTTTCAGCTGCCCTTTGAAATTTTCTGTTTAGCTCTTTTACTTCCATTTGCTTTAGCATTTCTATCCTGGAGAGGAAGTTTCAGAGCCTCTTCTGACATCCATTTGGGGTTTTTCTTTGTTCTTTGTCTTCTTAATGACCTTTTGCATTCTTCCTGTATGATGATCTTGATGTCATCCCATAACTCTTCTGGTTTTTGGTCATTA